TGATCATTCCTTTCACTATTGATCATTCCTTTCACAGCTGATCATTCCTTTCACAATCGATCATTCCTTTCAGGACTGATCACTCACCATTGATGTTCGTGGACTGATCATTCCTTTCACCACTGATCATTCCTTTCACCAGGGCCGGTGCCTGTTTGCCAGTGGCAGTCCCTTCGAGCTGGTGACTCTGAAGGATGGAAGAACCTTCAAACCAGGCCAAGGAAACAACGCTTACATTTTTCCAGGTAATAAATGAAGCTGTCACCGTTTAATCACTAAGATTGGGCTGGCTGCACAAGGCACGGTTAGTGAAGCAGCATTGGAGAACTTGGGAACGTGACAGAATGGCCGTCAGTTCAAGAGGTGGTGCATGCATCCACAGTGAGCAAACCCAGCTGGATATTGCTGAGAAAACAGAAGGGTGTTATTAAAGGCTCTGGAAGCTGCTGCATTGTGGGTTCTGCTGCTTGCTACGGGAGGAGAGGAGAAAACAAATGTTAACGTGCGCTTGAAGTTAGGTTAATAATTCTCAGAGATAATAGTTCTTAAAGTTGTGCTTGCACAGGAGTTTAGAAAAGTGGCACTGGAGATGTTCCTGTGCTTTCCCCTTTCCTCCCTGAGCTGCACAGCTCCAGCTCCCTCTGAAAGCCACCTGCTGTGGCCAGTGAGTGTGGGAGGTGTCCCTGCCCGTGATCTCTCAGGTCTGCTCCAAGCCCAGCCATCCCACGGCTCTGCCAGTGCGAGCAGGAAGCCACAGGAAGATTTTCAGGGATGAGGCTGGGGATGAGTCGCAGCAGGCTGCACATTTTGAAGGGATGTGGCCCCAACTGGCAGTGGTTTCCTTGCAGGCGTGGCTCTGGCTGTGATCCTGAGCAGTGTCCGGCACATCAGCGATAAGGTTTTCCTGGAGGCTGCCAAGGTACGTGTGGGAGCAGAGCAGGCTGTGCCCTCCGGCACGGCAGGCGTGGCTTGATGGGCACTTCTCAAACACGGTGCATTCCTGTTCAGCTTATTCCTGTTGGCTTATCCCTCTGCAATGGAGAGGGGCGGGAAGAAAAAAAAAGAGTTCTGATCAAAAGAAATTGTGCCGAGAATCAGGTTCCATTGCAGTTTTAATGAAGTAGGACGTGTGTCCTTGTGTAAATTATTGTTTGCCTGCTGCCCTGCCTGGTTCTGCAGCTGGCACCGTGGCTGGGGGGAGTTTATCCCCCAAAATACCCGAGTTTGTTTCCCTAAATGCTTGCACTCGCAGCGTGCTGATTCTCAATTCCTCAAACTGAAAGTGTTGAGATCCTGCCTCACTCCAGTGCTTTGGGAGCACTCTGGTGCTAAGAGCACTGCAGCCTGATCCTCGCAGGTGTTCTAGCATGTTACTAGTCACATTCGGGGCGCAGTAAATAAAAAATGTTTGTTTCTCCAACTCAGGCATTGGCAGAGCAGTTGACAGATGAAGAGCTCGCACAGGGAAGGCTTTATCCTCCACTGTCCAATATCAGGGAAGTTTCTATTTATATTGCTGTCAAGGTGAGTATGAAACATAAAATTGCTCTGCACTACAAGTGGTTTATGTGTGCACTAACCTGCAGAATTGCACAGTGTGACCCTCGAGCACGAGGTGCTGGGGCACAACACACCCAGTTCTTTGGGAGATATTTACAAAAACGTTCCTGTTGGATCCCAGAATCCTGGGAGTTTGGATCTTTCTGTGCTTCCTGGCACTGACCCCCAGGAGAACACTGCTTTGGACCCGGGGCCTTGGAGAAGGTTTCCAAATTTGAGTGATGGAGTTAAAGTCACTGGTGTGTAATTAGAATAGAAGTGTGTGATTGCACATGGCGAAGGGTTTAAAATTTGAGTTTTTATAGTTTAGTAATAGGTATGGGCCAAGATGGAGGATTGTGAGTGTTGCCTCTTTTGGTGCTCATCTCCTTCATGGTTCCAGGCAGTAGTTTCTGGTTGGTGAGTCGGTGTCACACCGAGGGTGATGGGAAGTTAGTTATTGAGTTAAAAGGATAAATAATATAGGAGTTAATTCTCTATTGGACTGTTCAGCTTTAAGAGACCCTTTAGCAGCTGGACCTTGCTCCATTTTCCTCACTTCCAGCAGGTGGCTAGAAGTGCCGCTGGTTGCCCTGTGCTTTTTTTGGTTTTTTTTATAAGATTGAATAACAACCCCAGGTTTCTGGGCTCCCCACACGTTCCCTTAGTTGGGTGCGCCAGAATCACTCCCGACACGAAATCAATCTCTCCACCGGGGTCAGAGACAGAGCCGTGGTGGTTTCCCCGCAGGTGATGGAGTTCCTGTACGCCAACAACATGGCCTTCCACTACCCCGAGCCGGCCGACAAGAGCCGCTACATCCGCTCCAAGGTCTGGACCTACGAGTACGAGTCCTTCATGCCCGACGTGTACGACTGGCCCGAGTCCAAGGTGCACTGATGGCACCAGCTCCTCAGGCAGCACCTCCTACTCTGCAGGGATCCCTTTCTCAGACCAACTTAAATCATGATCTTCGACTCCTCTAATTTATTTTGCGCTCCTTCTCGTTGCCTTTTTTGTTGTTGTTGTTGTTTTTCCTCTCCCCACCCCCCGCCCTTACACCCCTGTTTTTTTCACCTGATTTCTCCCAAGTACCTGATGAACTGTTAGGATGATGGCGTCTGCCACAGGGATGAGAGAGCCCTCCAAAATTAATTTAAATAATTGCATTTCTAGCTTAGAGCCAGCACCACACCGAAGAATTCCATTAATGATATTTTAGCTGCCCGCCTTTGATGGTGAACCAGAGCTCTCTCATCACTGCTGATGTCCAGAATGATTAATTTCTGCCTTTAAATAATCAGTCTTCTAATTGTCCTGGTGTTGTCACACTGCATTAGCCGTGACATCAGGGGCTACCACTTGCCATAAAGAAACAAAAGGGCAGTTAAAGACAACTTCAAGAGTCTAACGGGGCCTTGTGTTCCATTTCATGTTTGAAGATGCCCACGTCTCCAGACATCCTTGGGGCATTGGCTGCTGTTCCCTTGAGGGGCAGCGAGATGTACACGTGTGGAGTCTGCAGCAAAGTTTGCGGTTTTGTTTCCATTACTCCGTGAAATCTGTTCTCAGGAAAAATGTGAACTAGTTCAAATTGTCCTTGGGAAGCCTGAAAATAACACTAATCACTTAGTAGCTTTAAAAAACAAAGCTGTGCTGTCACAGAATAAATTTTACTGGGTAGAGGTAGGACCCGAAGTAATTTATGGAAATCTTTAAGGATTTCACAAGGAGTTCTTGCGCAATGGAGTGCAAGACAATACACCAAAGGATTTTAATTTAATTTTTTAATTTTTCCAAGATTCTGTTTCATCTAAGCCAGGTTGTTTTCTCCCTCGCACGCCCTTGTTCTCACAGAAAGACTGGTGTGTGGTGTTCTGTGGCCCTGCTGGCTGGAGAGCTGCAGGGTGGACTCTGGTGGGACGAGCACCGTGTAGGCAGCGGGTGCGGCTGGAGCAGAAAGCGTTGTCAGGCAGCTGTTCCACACCAGTCTGACCGTTTCCTGAGGTCCTGGTCCCCTGTGTCCTGCTCCGTGTGACCACTGGACTCTAAACATGCCGTGCCTACAAGCTGATCGCCCCACCTTACTCCTCCTGCAGTTTGTCAGAGTCCTTGTGCGAGAACAGGAATTTCCAGTTGAGCTTTTCCTTGCCGGGGGCAGTGCCGCACATTTGCTGCAGGTACCGCGGTGCAGGTTCCCCTGGTTGCTTTGGAGCGAGGCCGAAGTGCCCTGCTCGCTCTGTGGGGACAGGCGTGGTCACCCAGGGATGTCACAGCCTGTGAGTTCCCCGAGCGCGGCCCCTGCAGTGACGGGAGCACAAACAAAGACACGGTGCCATTGCAGATTGCTGCAGCACGGCAGGAAGAGGCCAGGAGTAAATAAAAACAGAGAGATGTGGCAGCAGGCTGTAGTGGCACACACCATCCGGAGAGATAAAGGAAAGCTTGCTCGGGATTTACCCTTGCCACGCACTGCTCTCCTGCCCTCAGTTACACGGGAAAATGCAGAACAGAGCAGGGAAAATGATCCCGGGAACCCCCCAGGCACCTACAGCCTAACCTCTGGCTCTAAAATTACGTTCATACAAAGAACAGTAAACTTTGGGAAGGCGCTGCCCGAGTGGGGAAAAGAAGACTGATTATATAAAGACAGAAAAGAGTGATGTGGGGAAAAAAAACTGTGGTATTCAAGCTGTGGTAAAGTGTTGTGTGGTGGGGCTCCAAGTGCTTCACTGCTGAGTTCTGACATGCACATGGACAGGAGCTTGCACTTGCAAGTAAATGTGCAAAGGACACCAACACACACATAGGATGTTTTTACAAAGAGTGCTTTTTTTCATCTATTTTTGCTATGCCTTGTTTTTATCGTATTTAAATTAGTGCTCTTACTGAAAAAAAAAAATTATTTATTCAATGTATGAATTATTTTTGCCTTCTGAAAATCCAGTTGTATCTGAAGCCTGTCGTACTGTGCCAGTGGAGTTGTGCATCACTGGATTCCAGAGTACTGGGGACACACGCTTCCTCCCTTCTGCCGACAGTCCGGTTGGGCAGATGAGTAACCAAAACGCCCCAAAATGCACTGATCTCTGTCCCTAAGAGCTAAGAGTGATCACAGAGGCAGGACCGCCCGTCCCTGGCCTTGTCTGTGCATCCTCTGTAGCTTGCAGGGGGGACACGGTGGGGTTTTCCCTTCCTGTTGGCAACAGGTAACCTGTCAGCTCACAGAGTTTTTAGTCCATTTCACTCCCTCTTTCATCTTCTCCATATTTTTTTTTTTTTGGGATACATAGGATTTTAAGATACATAGATTCATGCTCAGTTTTTCTTCAGGTACAATTAATCCTGGAATGAATTACAACTGCTAATCTTGCTGGCTAATAAGGAACCAGTTTCCTTTTTCATATTCTACTTAACATGATTTTTTTTTTCTGTTTGCTGGCTTGTTCAAAATATTTACCGATCTTTATCTGTACAGAAAACTCTCTTAGACAGTATGCAAAGGGAAACAGGTGTCACCAGGATGCATTTTGTCATGTCACATAGTGTAAGTTTAAAAAATACACCACCTGAAGGACCACCAGTGTTGTCGCTTGTCACACAGCCCCGGTGACTTGCCCTTCCAGCGATATAAAAGACTGTCTTCCGTGTCTCCTTGGGGCATGCAGAACCCTTCCGAGAGGATCAGGAACTTCAGTCTTGCCCAGGATTTGTCCAATCCTTGCTTCCTTAAAATCAGCAGGAGCAGCAGGGCAGAGCCTCTCGGCACCAACCTGTAGGAATGTTGAGGGGAGAGCAGAGGTGTCTCACGGAGCACAGCCTTTCTTCATAAAACACTGTGGTTTTGTTCAGAGGTGTTGCAAAGGTCTGTGTGTTCCCGAAGCCTCCGCCCAGGTGCCACCAGGACATGTAAAAGGAGATGATTAAAACCTTGTGTCTGGTCTATTTTAAGCCCCCAGTGTGACTCGTGGCACGAGTTCTCGGTTACGTTTGTGGACAGCGATGCATCCTGATCTGTCGTGTTTGTTTTCCAAGCTTCAAGCCAAGTGACACTTTACCTGCAGAGTGGTGTGTAACAGGTTTCCTGTGCTCGGTGCGTGTCTTCCTGCTGTACTGTTGTTTCCAGCACGCTGTTTTACGGGGATAAAGTAACTCTGTCACACTCCTCTGGTAGTACCTGCGAAGATGAACCGTTCACCTTTCGGTTTCCCATTAGCAGCCCTCCGTGGTGACTGTTCCTGTGGGAGAGTGGGGATCACTATTGTAAGCTCCGACCCGGTTTTAGTTCGGCTGACTCTGTGCCTCGGGCAGTCCCAGCTGTTGTTCACTCGCTCCGGGCTCGCTGCAGAGCGCAGAGCCGAGCTCCCCTGCCAGTCTCGGAGCAGGGTGAGAACAGCTGGGGCTGCTGTCTCGCTCTGAGTGCTTCCACTGACATCTCTGGACTCCTTAGGATGATCCACGCTGCCGCCCCGTTCCAGCACAGCCTCGGGCAGCGGGCAGGGCCTGGCGTTATTGCACAGCACGAGGAAACGCCGAGCCGAGCTCCGGCCGCACCTGGCTTGGCACCTGAGTTTGAGCAAAGCCATTCAGCTGCTGTGCCTCCAGCTCCGTGTGGAGACCTGCCCCGTGCCCGGAGACCCCTGAGAGCGGCGTCAGCTCCGTGAGGACGCTCCGGCACAGCTCCGAGCCCGCGCCGCCCGCGCCCAGCTCGCCGAGCGGATGCCGCTGGCTCTGTGGCACCCGCGGTGGCCACCACCCGCCGTGGCCACTGGCTCTGAGGCACGCCGGGCCCTGGCTGCAGCTGCAGGAGGAGGTTGTGCCACCAGACGTGCGCTGGGTGCCCGAGCTCCCCGAGCACGAGGCTAGGCTGGCGCTGGGCTGAGCTCAACTCTCCACCTACCACTGATTTGGACTCATCCACCCTCCAGCTGGGTCCTTCCTAACGGGAATAAAAACACTCCTAGGACTAAACATGGCTGGTTTGTCAACAAAACAGCAAAATAATCTGCATTTATTTCTGTATTAAACATATCTACCTTAAGCAAATCAGTGTAAGCGTGCTGGGCGCTTGTGGGAGCAGCCTGGGAGGGTCGTTGCTCAGCTGAAACTAAAACTGTATGTAAAATGTGAACTGGTTGGGGTTTCTTCCTACTTTATAACGTTGTAACTCTATTGAAATGTGTGTTCTAGTCTTCTATTTTCTTAGTAAAATGCATTCCCTTTGCCTAAGTTGTACCTGATGGTCTTTATTCCAAAAAAACAAAACAAAATACAACACTCGATCTATCCAGGATTGGAAAAACTCCCTTTGCCAAGGGGCTTCATAAACGGGGTTGGATGTGATGATCATTAAGGTCTTTTGCTAGAATCATGGAATCAGAGGATGATTTGAGTTGGAAGGGAACCAGATGACCATCCAGTGCCACCCCCTGCCAGGGCAGGGACACCTTCCACTGCCCCAGGGGTCACCAAGCCTCGTCCAGCCTGGCCTTGGACACTGCCAGGGATCCAGGTGATGCTTGGGAAGGCTGACCTGGAACAGAGACTGGACAGAGCAAAGGGACTAAAATCAGTATTTATTGAAAGGATTCACCTTGGGCAGTGCAAGAGCCCGGCTGGGGCTACACCCAAATCAAATCCCAGATGGGTCCTGGTCACGAGTTTTTACACTTTATGAGTTCTGGTTCACCTACATATTGGGCTTAATTGTTCATCCACAGTCTCAGGTCATCAAGTCTCAGCTCCCTGGCTTGCCCCCTTCCTTCCCTTCGATGTTGTTTCTGCTTTTTGGGTGAGGGGTGTCCTTGATTCTCTAGCTAGGAATGGATTGTTTTGTCTTAACTACCCTGTGAAGAGAACTTACTAACCCCTAACAAGAAGTTTCAGAGTTACACACCGAGCAGCAGAGAATCTGAAATATATATAAAAGCTAAAACCCAAGGGATCACAGGGGCAGCCACAGCTGCTCTGGGCACCCTGTGCCAGGGCCTGCCCACCCTCCCAGCCAGCAATTCCTTCCCAAGATCCCATCCAGCCCTGCCCTCTGGCACTGGAAGCCATTCCCTGTGTGCTGTCCCTGCCTGCCTTGTCCCCAGTCCCTCTGCAGCTCTCCTGGAGCC